ACATGATGCATATCTTTGGATTTAAATCTTTTATTCTTGAAATAGTTGTGATTTTATTTTCTCAAAACTGCACCCTTAAACTTTTCTTGGAGATTTTGAAGTACCTAACATCTTGATATTTGAAAGCGGTTTGCAAGATGAAAATTTTACTGTAGATATTTGGAAAATGTGAACCTGGACATTCCATATAAGCAAGGAATTTTTGAATTGTGACCCACTTGTATCATGGCATGGTCATATCCTAGTTGTTGACATCTCTTATTTTTGGAACTTTGCTGCAGGCGTTTTATACGGAAATGCAAGCAAGGTTGCCTGCAGTTTGTGATCTTGAAGCCCATTTTAGTTGTTGTCACACTTGTGCTTTATGCAAAGGGGAAATATAGAGACGGAAATTTTAGTCCAATGCAATCGTACTTATATCTCACAATCACATATACAATCTCATACACGATGGCTCTTTATGCTCTTGCATTGTTTTATGTGGCATGCAAGGATCTTCTTCAGCCATTCAATCCAGTCCCGAAGTTTATCATTATAAAATCTGTTGTATTCCTGACTTATTGGCAGGTGAGTAAAATAACCCTTGGGAAAAAGGATGACTTGTTTGATCTTGAGATTGTTATTATTTGTTTGTTTGGAGTATGAATTGCTGAACCTGCCCCCTCCAGGGGGAAAAAAGAAAAGGAGAGAAACATAGATAGAAAATTAATGTCTTTGCAGCTGTATTCTGGGATTTAATAATTCTTCAAGAAGAGACACTGGATATAGTCTGCAATCGCATTTCTTGTTTCTGATTGTAAGAATTGAGGAAGCAGAGGCGCTGTGTAATTTATTTATTAATATACGTTCCAAAAGTTGAGTTTGCTGTCTGGGTGAGCATAAAACTTAAAACGTATGTTTCCTTGTGAAAGTTATCTATAGTCATACTTGTCTGTCATACATCTAGATTTAAATTTGTTATATCTTCTGCATGTGTCTTTCTTTCAGGTCTGTTGTTTTTTCTAATTTTAGTCAATAGTCAAGATTCATGCACTAATTTACAATTCACAGCATCGTGTTTGTTTCCTATGATGCCTAGAATGAATGTTATTTCTATGTTTAGACCATTCAATTTGATGTGAACTGGTGTTTATTCTCTATTTATCCGATAGGTTTGAACCAGGGTGATGTTGCCTTGTCCGCTCCACATTTTAGTGTGTTAATTTTTCATTTCTGCCAAATTGAGATTTGTCTATTTTGCTTGATACTTATTTCTTTATAACCATGGTGATTTTGTCTCGTTCACATTTTAGGGTGTTTTAGTTTTCCTTGCTGCGAAGTTGAGATTTATTCAGGGTGCGGAAGAAGCTGCTCTACTTCAAAATTTTATCATTTGTGTTGAGATGCTTGTCGCTGCTGTGGGTCACTTTTATGCGTTTCCATACAAAGAGTATGCTGGTGCTAACATAGGTGTAACCCGTGGTTTCACAGCTAGCCTGGGGCATGCCTTAAAGTTGAATGATTTTTACCATGACACAGTCCACCAGGTGAGTCTTCTGTTTTATATATCTTGTGTATGGTTTTTTGCACTGGTAGTACGTGGCTGGCCATGCATCAGGGTTATTGCCTGGTTTAGCTACCACTAAGCTGCAATTCTCCCGTTTGGATCTTGTTGGGAAGAATGTGCTGATTCGACTAAAACTTCTGGCAGTTTGCACCAACATATCATGAATATGTTCTCTATAGTAACAGTGAAGGCGAGGAGGGAGCAAGGAAGTATAGGTCGCGGACTTTTGTTCCAACGGGCCCAGAGATGGATAGTGCTAGAAGAAATAAAGCGATATCTGGGAGTAAGTTAGATGACATACAACTCTCTTGTGTCTCTCCATTTAGTCCTAGCACTCCCATGAACTCTGGCTCTGCATCTGATGCCCCTCATTCTACTGAAACGGGATCTTCCTTGCTTGTGGATATATCAAATTCTGTGCCTCTGCCATACGATATCGCCCTTGTTGAGCTGGATCCGTCTAGTTACCCGGAAAAAGTTCCTGCAGCTGATAAAGATAGTAATAGGTGATTTTGACAGGCCCTTTGGATATGTTGTTGCCTGAGACAGAAGAATTTGCGGGGTGGGAGTTGAACATTTCCGTTGTGGTGGAAGATAGCTAACTGTTCTTTGCGTATTCTTGTGAAGAATGGGTGCTGTGCTCCCTGCGTCAACTAGGTCGATGTGACTTCGCAGCCCTCAATCTGCCACAGCCCCTAGCGGAAGTGCAAAGCGGTCCTCAACTCAGATTGTGATTGTCTCCAGTGAGTGCATCTTTTGTGCGTGTTGTAGATAGAAAACCTAGTGTCACGATTCAAAGGTAACACATACTCAGCGCGCTGGAATCAACATCAATTTATTGATTTATTTATTCTTTGCACATTCAAATTATCTTTTTTTTTTATAGAAAAAAATTAATCTTTTAATCCTTCAACTTTTAGTTCACTTGTAATTCAGTTTCTCAATTATGATTCGATCCTTCAACTATGACTCGCTTATTATTCGGTCCCACAATTATGACTCGCCTATAACTCAGTTTCTCAACTTTTGAATCACTTACAAATTAATTCTTAAACTTTTGTTAATTTTTTTTATGTTAGCTTATATTTTATATTAATGAATAAGGGAAGGATATTTTAAAATACTATATAAGCATTTTTTTATTCCTCTTATTTAATAAAAATTTTTTTTTAAAAAAATTAAAAAATAAGGATCGAATTGTAAGTAAATTAAAAATTGAGGGATTGAGTCGCAGTGAGTCATAATTGAGAGATTGAGTTATAAGTGAGTTAAAAGTTAAAAGATTAAAAAATTAATTTTTTTTTTAATGACATGCATATCATTGTTTTGATTGTATTAATTTAAATAATTTTTTATTCTTTACAAAAACAGGAGGGGAAGAGATAAAATTATATTAAGAAAGAAAGTGTATAAAAGAGGCGCACTTTGCTCTAGTTATTTTATTCCTTATATAGTTTCAAGCAAGCAAACCCTAAGGCAGAATATAAAGCCACGTATGCATTACAATAAAGAGTAATGAAGCCCATTCTAATGTTTTGCTTATCGGGCTTTCATATTATTGGGCTTCACTGAAGCCAGAACTTTAACAGAAAGAAAACAAAAACTCATTTTGTATCTCATTATTTAAAAAATTTATTTGCATGATCGATAATAATTACATTTAAATTCAAACTTATTATTTTTTTCATAGAAGAGGGGCAAAGCTTGAAATCATGGCAAATAAACTCCGCCAGAGTTGTTAAGTGAAGGCTTGTCAGAGAAGTCCGCTTTAGAATATGGAATAATTTCTAGAAAAAAAAAAGGAATAAAATTGTTATGAATTAAGGCCACGTGCTTATTCAAATAGAATGGAATGTAATAAATTAAAAAAATAAAAATAAAAATAAAATGATCAAAGAGGATAGATGAGTATATTCATAAAAAGAATAGTAATTTAGTTTATGGAGTTGAGAATTATAATTCATGAGATTGTTGGAGGGCGTAATGATTTTCACATTTGTAGTATATATTAATAAGTTTTATCATATTTATCATAAAGAAAAAGGTGATTTAATTTATTTTTGTTTTGATTTTTTCAATTCATTCTATTTTATTTTATTCTTGTAAACAAACGTGACTTACAAGTCTCGTTTATTTTATGTTTGGTAGGTGATAAAAAGCTAATATGTTATCTTCATCTGCAGGCAGTTCTATCCCCCATTTTTGTTATGAATTATGATCAATCCCCTTGAAGGCAGAAGATACATGCCCCACTCTTTTTTTTTTGGGTAAGAGAAGATGCTAAAGCCCAAAGAAGCTTGCCCAGTTTAGTTATAAAGTCTGGCGATAAAAAAAAAAAAAAGTTAAGAAGGGAACAGGAAGTCGTTTGGTTCCAAAAAAATATAAAGAATATAGAAAAAGAAAAAACGTATAAAGGGAAACACAAAAGGCAGGTGATCTTTTTTCTTTTTCGACCGTAAAAGGGTCTTCAACAACTTATCTGACCGCCCACGCGTTAAAGTGCTCGTAATAATTTAAAAAGACGGCTAAAAATGAACAAGAGAAGAAGGGTGGGTGGCTGGTCAGAAAAAAAACGACGTTGCGTTTGGCTTCTGCGGCGTCGCACCGGTTCGCTAGCTATGTAGTGTAGACAACGTAAGCAGAACATTAGGTACATGGAACTTCAACGCCTATATGAGTCTTCACAAATCCTAATTACATCTTCTCCACTTTCTTTCCTTTCCCATGTGCGCGTATTTATTTTTTTTGCTTCATTTAGGAACTGTTGAGCGGACGGCTAGCATGGGCTTCATTGACTCTGAAGGATGGCTTCAAAATCAACTTCTCTGATTCAATTTTACTTATATGCGAATATCGTCTGAACTCTGAGCACCCTGTTGTGTACCCATGTTTTTTTTTTTAAAAAAAAATTGATTTTGAAGCCATTTTCCAAGTCAGTGAAACCAGGTGGAAAAAATAAAAAGTAAAAGAAATTGAGCGAACAGGAAGTGATTCTTGAAGACATGAATAATGCCCAAAGAGGAGTGATCAAGTTCGGGGGACGAATCTCTCCATTTTTTTCCTTTCATTTTTTTTTATTTTTTTTCATTTCAATCATTTATTAATTTTATATTTTTAAAACATTTATTTAATAAAATAATATGGATAATTGAGAAGAAAAAAGTGAAGGGAAATGAAAAAAAAAAATGAAGAGACGCTTGATCCAACCAAGTTCAGGGAAAGAGAGAGAGAAGAGAGACGAAAAGTCACTAGAAATGATTCAATTTTCTTTTTGATAAAAAGAAAGAGACAATTTTGAAAGTAAAAGATGCCTTACAATTTTTTTTTTTAATCCACGTTGGAGGCAATTTATTCCTGTTCTAGCTACTATCGGATATTAAATGTGCTTTTATTGTCAAAATGCCTATGAATACAGCATGGTTTTACCTGAAGTATATATATATATATATACAGAGAGAAAATTCTAATAAGTGCAAATTAATATATATATATATATATACATACACACACATATAATTATGTGAATGTGATAGGGTTAACTTAAATAAATAGAGTAAGAAAGTAAGTAGATTTAAAAATTTAGATGATAAATAAAAAATCGGAAGTCAAATTTTAATCATGTTAGCGACCATTTTCTCCATCCTCTTGGCTTCCAGATGTACGTATTTATGTTGTCTCTGTTTGGAGACATTCTTGCTTCTTCTCGTTCACTTTAAGAAGGACCGAAGCGATTTGTTTCGTCACCAGTCATCAGGCACCGCGCAGGTTCTCCCAGTCTCTGAGGTGGCACAGTGACCGCCATGATAAAGTACGGTGAGAGTCAAGTGATGACGGTGAACCCAATATTCCGAAGCGAATCTCTTGGGTACTGCTTGCCGGAGCAGAGCTACTCCATGATGGAGAAGAGGCAGCTATTCCTCAGAAGCTATCAGTTCTGTCGAAAGAAGAGCGTTGCAGAGAGAATCAAAGGGTCATTGGCGCGTGCGAAGAAAGCTGTGTGGCTGAGCTGGCTACGATCCGCTCTGGGGCTGAGGAAGTTAGTGTTTTCCAGGTTCCAATGCGGCTTCCATTACCGTCGCCGGAGGTTCTTCCGCCTCTTCAACGTCTATCCCTGCCGCAGAAGCGACTCTTGCTTTTTCTAGACCAGTCCTTTTCATCTTGTCTTCTTAGGTTTAATTTGATTCTTCATACAGCTGCTTCCTCATGATTCTTCGTTTGTTCATGTCTTCTCTCTCCCGTGGTTACCAGAAGAAATTGAATCAATTCAGAATTTTGAGTCTTGCGGCCCTATGGTTATGGGGAAATTTCTTTTCTTTTTCTGTTTCTGAATTGCCAGTTGTTTAGATGAACGTGGTTTAGGAAGCTCAATCCATGGCTCAAAGAGCAGAGGGAAAATCTTTCCTCCTTCCCGGACACAGTCATTTAATTAACCACTAATTTTGTAGAGACGATAACAAAAACAAGTTTAATGCTCTGAAAACTGTCAAAATTTGGATATTAGATCTAATGAACATTTTTCCCCCCTTTCCCAGCAACAAATATCAACTAAGTAAAGATCCCAAAATAATCTGAAACGAATATATAGGACGAAGCTCTCTGGCATTGGTAAGATTTTGCTCCGGCGAGCCCACCGGAATTAGGGATTTGGATTCACCTTCATGGATCCTAATCGCATTATTATGAAATATGAGTATTTTATCTGTAACTTCATCGTTCATTATCTAAATTAATTAATAAGGTATCCATGGTTAATAATTTTAGAGTAAAATATTTTGATCACTCCTTTATTTTACCTTAATTATAAATATATTCTTTTTATTTTTAAAATTTATATGAATCTCTCCTCATATATATAGTTACAAAATATAAATGTCTCTTTTATTTTTAAAATTTTATTTTTATTTATCTAATCATTAGTTAACTATTACGGTGAGCGATGTGTGATGGATCAAAATACATTTCTTTGAACACAAATATAGTGTAAAAATCAATCATATTACCTAGAAAAAAAAATTAATGCATATATTTTTCTTTTTAATTTATTTTTTGTTTTGTTTTGAGAACGTATTTATTAGAAACGCAATTGAAAAACTTAACTGAATAAGGATTTTTTTGTTACTATAAATAAAATAAGTATTTAATATAATAAATTGATTAATATAATTTATAATTTTAACACAAAATTTTTAATTTATTTATTTAAATATCCACATACATAATTATTTAAATTTTTTAAAATTAGGAGAGACAGAGAGAGTAAACAATTAGATTATTGAGGGAAAATAAATAATTTTAAAATTTTCAATATAATTAGAAGCAAAAAAGCTTAAGTATTCCTGAATGTGTTAATAATTGGATCAAAGTATAGGTTTTGAAAATTAAAAAAAAAATGTCCATATAATTTTAACAAAACAGATAGAAGGTCACTATATTTTACTCATAATTTTAATATGATTAATTTGACTTTTATATCAAAAATATTTTATTTTTAGAAAACCAGACAAACATGAATTCTCGAGTGAAGGACGGAGCGAAGCACAAAGAGTCTCAAAAGGATTTAAAAGTTGGAGATTTTGGAAAAGAAAACCACAATTTCCTACGATGGACGTGAGAGACGTGCATTTGCCTTTGAAAACAAGCAGGACAAGCACGCTCGGTTTTCCCTTTCTACATGTCATCGTTGTAAAGTCAAGTTTGTAATTCTTCTTTTTCAGAACTACTAGTAATACGGCAAGCTGTTTTCACTCTTCACCAAAAAAGAAACTCTGATTTTCGAGCGATCGAGCAAGTCCTAGCGGGAAGTGAGAGTGAAACTCCGAACCATTGAGAATTGCTTGAGCGTGCAATATTGGGTGGAATTTATGATTCACGAGCAACTGTGCTGGAGGTTGTTGCTGTTAGTTTGGTGCCATTAATTTTATTAATGAAGGTGGAAAGTAATGGCATCACAACACCAAGTGTTACAGAAAAGAAGAAACGCTCGCTTGCTCAACTTCATGGTCCTCTCCCTCTCCAACGGCAACAAAACGTACACTGCCACCTTTAAACCTTGTCACCCACCATCTGCCTCGTTTTTATTGTCCCTGAAATTAGTATCCATACAAGTCAGCAATTTCTTTTGTGATTATTTTCAATTCTCTTGGGTAAGCATCCAAGCATGGCTGAACTTCATGTTCTAAACAGCCTGACCAGCTTAGGGATCTGCGTCCGGTAGAGGTTCCAAAACTTCAGGTCGAGGAATAAAAACGATAAGAAGAATTATTGAATCAAAACGACGCCGACGACATGACACATCAACATCACCGTTTTAGTCAAAATTACATCTCACTCCCTCCTGTTTGTTAAGAGAATTGAGGTTTAGTACAAGGGGATGAAATGTAATAGATTGAAAGAATTAACATAAAAATAAATTAAATTATTTTTTTTATAATAAGTATGATAAAACTTATTAATATAAATTATAAATATAAAAATTATTATATTCTTTAAAAATTTTATGAATTATGATTCTTAATCTCATAAATTAAATTATTTTTTTAATTTTTTAAATAATATCATTTTTATTTTTATTTTTAAAATTTATTTTATTTTAATTATTTTTAATAATCAAATGTGACCTAAGTTTCTAATTTCCATCATGAGCAACGAATTAGATTGACAACGGTAATATGAATCAGAATAAGTCAATGGAACATGCCGTGCGATAAACAGTCGCTAATCCCTATACAATACAAAACCCCTTGAGCCGCAGGTAACGGCACGTGGTTCAATAAATACACTATTTAATCCTCAAGAGTCCATCAAATCTTATTTAATCCATATAGTATTGCGCCAGGCTACCTACATTAACTCATGTTAATTTACTTGTTTACAAAAATCAAATCTTTTTTGGTTGGCAAAAATAAAAAATCAAATCTTTTATTGCACAGCAGTTAACCCTCTACAGACTGCATTTGTTTATTCAATTAATTTATTAAAGCAGAATAGACATATAATTTAATTTCCTGCGGAGGCTGTCCAGTAAAAAGTTGCAAATAATGCTAGAATAAGCTTGCTCCATCCTATTCAAAATATAACTATTTTTTTTTTATAAAGATCTGCATATGAAAAAATTCTTATTCTAATAAAAATATATATTATTTTCACTTTTTATTTTTAGTTCTAATTACCCATACACTCTGTAATAAGTAAGAGATACATTTATATAAATATTTAGATTAATATACAAGTAGAAAAATGATAAAAAAATTACATATGCTAAATTGCTTGTATTTTGAATCAATATTAGTTGAATATTAATTGAGGAGAAATATTTATATTTTAAACCAAAGGGATTAAATACTAAAGCATTAAAATATACCTGATAAGAGCGTCTCAGTTTTAACAAGTTTTCAAAGCTGAAACAGTAAGATTAACAAACACAGCCTCTGTTTTTTAAATATAAGAGAATTTTAACAATTTGTACAGTTTAAAAAAATTATTTAATCATAATTATATCTAAAATTAAAATATTTAAAATAAAATACCCTTATAATTAATGTTTGTTTTTTTCTCTAATTTACTAATACTATCCATTTATAAGGGATAATTTTAAAAAAAGTAATTAATACTTTTTTAAATTTCTAATTTTACTTATAATAAAAAAATAAAACATGGGTTGTATAAAAAAAATAAAACATGGGATAATTTTTCCTATATTTGAAAACCTTATGGTTTCAACTGTATTAAAACTCATTTTGCCTCAATTCAATTTAATTTTTATAATTTTAACAGCTTAGAATGTTGATCCTTTTGTTTAAAGAAATAAAACTAGAATAACTAAAGTTATTTCTTGAATGTTGAGGACTACTATTTTAAATGATTAAAATTATATGGCTTAAATTGAAACCATACATTGAGCAACAAAAACAAAAATAAAAAGATTGAAGTGAGAAAAATTTTAAGCATTAAATTTTAATCAAGTCAAAACAATAATAATTGAGCTGAACTAAATTTAAGTTGAATCTAAGTTAAATTTTAACTCAACTAGGAGACCAAATTATTAAAAAAAAAACAGCAGTCAAAGAGAAAGTGTGCCTTTTTCTTATTGGGATAATTGCTTAGCAAACTATTAGAATATTACCTATTGAGGATATTCACAAGATGAGAACAAGATTGAAACACTCATTTCCTATGTTTCATCTTGAAAAATGATTGAAATTAAATTTTTATCTCATACTTCATCTCATTTCATTAGAATCAAGATAGAATTGAGATGTCCTGGTAAAATGTACAACATAGAAAAAAGATTCAAATAATAATATTTATTAAAATATTAAATCACATAACTTGTTAATTTTAAAATCAAAATGACATAAGTACATAAATAATAAGAATTTAAAGTTAATTATTGAGTTAAATCAATCACAATTACAAATACACAATTTAAAGTCAAGTATGTGTGAGACATAATATCATGAATTAAAATGTAATTAAGCATGGGATATGCTGGAATGTAATTAAAGATTAAAATAGCTAGCAATAGCTCAAGATATGAACCGAAAGAGTAGATGAGTAGTAGGTGTTGTTTTCTTTGTGCTAAGAAAGGACAATTAGGTCTTGTTTGGTAGAAAGCATTGGGAGGTTGGGATTGTGATTGGGTTTAGAGAAATTCATTGATAGAGTGTTGGTACAAAGGTTTTCTTATTACTTGGGTTTAGTGAAACCCACGTAGGTGGGATTAATGAAACCCATAGGGGGAGGTAATACTGAAAATTCAAGCCTGAGATTGAAAAACTTAGACCCAAACACCCTCCTTTGATAGACATGTTTGCCTCTCGATTTTCTTCCTTTTCCCTTCTCTTTCAACCTACATCTTCCTCTCTGCATCTTCCTCTTGGTCTCCTCCCTTCTCCCTCCATTAATAACAAGAGTGACAACCATTGACGGTGGATAGGTTCAAGTTTGAGTTCTCTATGACGGCAACAAATCTAGCTTCCCTTTCATTAATAGCAAGAGCGACGACCATCGACGGTGCCACAATGGTTAGGTTCAAGTTTGAGTTCCCCATGGACAACAATAAACATAGCTTCTACTTCCATTAACAGCAAGAGTGATGACCATCAACAGTGTCATAGTGGTTAGGTTCAAGTTTGAGTTCCCTATCAACGACAACAAATCTAGCTTCTTCTTTCTTTAATAGCAAGAGTAATGACCATTGACAGTGCCATGGTGGTTAGGTTTAGGTTCGAGTTTTCCATCAATGGCCACTGGTTCAAAATTGGGATATTTCTCGAC